TCCTGCTGTAAAATATGTAAAGAAATTAGGAGGATGTGAGTTTTGTTTTTTTTGTTTGTTTGTTTTTGTTTTTTTTTTTGGCAGTACTTTGATGCACCCTTTAAAAGAATGTAATGCTGACTTGATTATTTATGCTTGTACAGGTTTGGCTGTTCATTAAACTAGTTCAGCGTTCAACGTGCTGACTCATTAATTTAAAAAAAAGTTTGTGTTTATTTATTCTCAAAGAAACTTCCACGCATTCCCTCGTCAGAAATGTATATTTACATTTATGTGAGAAATGTTTTGAATTTAGAGCTTAATAACAGTACAAGCGAGTACAAAAATAAAAATGAAAGTGAGTCCCTGTATCTTGGGCAGTGGTGGCTTGACAAAGCCGTCTTGGGTCCAGAGGGTTTCAGGTTCGAGTCCACCAGCTGCCAAGTTACCACTGAGGTGCTCTGAGCATGGCACCGTCCCCGCCGTCCCCCCTCCTTTTCCTTTCCTTTTGTGTTCATCGGCCTCTGTGTGAGCAAAGGAGCCGACTGTGGAGCCAAGGTAAACTGAGGGCGACTGGGTGACTTATGACACGTGAGTTAATACACAGTATTTGGTTTTAGAAAATAAGGTAGAATACATGCTTAAGACGTAAGACTTTTATTCGTCACGTGCAACTGTAACGTGGACACTAGCATTGACGCAAAGTCCTGTGTCCTCCATGTGCCCCTTGTTGGACTGACGGTACAGAGGCATGTGATACGGTGTGGAAACAGACACAAACAGGAACTCTGTCCTAAAAAAAGGACCCATTTTTGCTCATGAATGATCTTAGCTGTGACCAAAAAACTGCAGTTTCAATGAGTCAGCAAATTACCGAGTGACTGACGGCAGACATTTCTGTGCAGCACAGAAAAAAAAGGATCATTCTGTGGGAAAAGGTTTCAGCACAGCCATGATTTTTACCTCTAATGTGAAAAAAAAAAGATTTCATGTATCTGAGAGAACTGTGGGTTTTTGTAACAGCTAGGAATGACGTGAAGGTGAGTTGATAACCTTGTGATTTACATATATTTTTTATGTCGAATAAAAAAAATCATTAGTTTTTCTTGAACCACTGTCCATCATTTAAATCCAAAACAGCAGAGTCTCCTGACTCTAATAACCAGCTCTGGAGTCTCATCCTCAGTTCATGCATAGGTTTTTCATGTTAATTGATTTTTATGATGTGGTGGCTTGGTGGTTAAGGAAGCGGACTTAGGTCTGGAAGGCTTCAGGTTCCACCAGCCAGCTTGAGTTACCGCTCATACATACTTACTGTAAACAGTAGTAGAGTAGTAGTATATGTATATACACACACACAGTATATGTTACATACATTTTTCTCTCCTGGCTTCTGTATCTTGAAGTGTCACACGGCGGTCTCTGCCCAACCACGGATGAGCCTACAAAGACAACAAAAAATATGATGTCAAAATAGAATTGAGAATGAACAGAGACAGAGACAAACGAGTTTTTACTCATAATATGGAGAAGGTTTGTCTACGAGAGAAAGAAAGAAGAAGAAAATGAGTTGAGTTTGGAGCAAGTGGACACTAAAAATTCTGTCTCGATCTCACCTTTCGACACTTCTGTACACCAAGTGTTCAGTGACAACCAAGAACAAGACAATAGCAAGGCCGATTAAGATGAAGACGATGGTGATGATGATGATGATGATGGTGGAGTCAAGAGGCTTCGCTGTTGAGAAGAAAAAGGGAGGTCAGAGAAGGATCTGCTGTAAAGATGAGCTGCAGATCTACACCAGTCAGTCTTCGTGATTCCACTCTCACCTCTGTTAGATACGATCTTCTCTGGATCCAGTCTGGTCACCAGGTCCTCCTCCACACCAGAGAGCTGAAACACACAGTCGTGCCTCCCCCAGTCCTCAGGAGAAACGGAGGAAAGACGCAGCTCGGAGCTCATCTGGAAGGTTCCGTCAGGGTTGGGCAGAGCCTCTCCGTGCTCCACGCCCTCGTGAAGCTCCTCTCCGTCTCTCCTCCAGAACAATGTGGCTGTGTTGGGGTAGAAACCTGTAGCGTGGCAGGTGACTGGAGAGGAGGGAGACTTCTGAAGGAGAGACACTGAGGGGAGGTCTGAGGAGACAAGAGGAGACATGAAGTACCCAACGCAGTAGCACTACAGCGTGTTTGTTATTTGTCAAAAAAGGTCAAGGTCAAGATATTATCATCATTAAAAACATAAACATCGAAGTAACCACGTTTTACCAATTATTCAATCCGAAGAGAGAAATGTTTAAAGGTTACAAGGTCAAAATAAAAGCTTCTTCGATTTCTCAATAAAAACACGAGACGCAGCACAAGTCCTAGGACTTAGGAGGTGGTTTGAGACCCAACCTTTCACCCACCTATGATGTCGTCCTGAGTTCAAGGTCACAGTTTCATTGTTGTCACCCAGCCAAAGGTGTGACTCAGCTATGGTATCACTTCCCATTCACACCTCTGAACTTGTGACTTTACTTTCCGCCCTCCTTGGAATAGCATGTGTTTCACCCCCCACTCCCCCACCCCTTTCTGCAACAACCCTCGTTACGGCTGTGCAGCCCCGTTTGAGGCTAAATACTAGAATTTCCCAGTAGTCAGTCAGAACTGAAGAAGCCTTTTGGATGAGAGGTGAAACGTCTTTAAGAAAAAAAACCCTACTCCGTTGCCCTCGATGTACAGTAACTATCTTTGGATGACCTCGGACATTTCTAAAATAGTCGGTAAACATTGGTTTAAATGAGTCAAATATAAAAACAAAGTCAGACTCACTCGCTCCGCCGCCGTTTATTCCCAGTAGAAACAGCAGAAGAATAGCCTTCATTATGACTATTGGAATTTGATTAGGTCGATGTGAAGACGTTCATTTTTCCAGTCTGCGCTGAACTTGAGAGAGAAGACTAGAGCCGGAGTCTGGGCTGTGATGGGGTCAACTTCTCTGTGAACCAATGACAGTTCAGAATCAGCCCCGGCGTCACTAAACTCAACGTGAATCAGAGTGAAACAGAAAGTGGAAAAAAATAGGAACAAAACAACATATATTGTCATGTTCTCTGAGATGTTATCATTGTTAAAAATATAAACATGGTTTTTTTTTAAACAAACGTCGAAGTAACCACGTTTTACTGATTGTTAAATTAGAAGAGAGAAATGTTTAAAGGTTACAAGGTCAAAACAAAAGCTTCTTCAAGTTATCAATAAAAACATAGTGATGTTTGACAGACTGAGCCAAATCTATAACTGTTAGGTTATAGATTTGGCTCAGTGAAATATTATGGTCTTTTTTAATATTTAACCCTTGTAAGGTCCCTCACATATTGGGTCTTGGTGACCCCCGGGGTCTATACACACCTGCCTATATATATACAAACCTACCATGCTACCTGACACCGTCCTTATCCATATACCTCTTAAAATTACATTGCTTCAGCTCCATGGCGAGGCTGTTCCATAGTCTCACCCCGCTAATTGAAACACAAAAGCCCTTCCTTGTTGTGCGAAATAGTGGTCCTAACTACTATAATAGAGGTTATAACTCCCCTCATGAATACTGAAGGATTTCTGGATGTTTATTGGCAACAGATTGTCTTTAGCTTTGAACATTAATTGAGCTGTTGGAAAGTTGACAATGTCTGGACATTTTTGCAATCTGGAGTGAAGGAATAGTGCATTAGTGTGTTCCTGGTAGACGACATTGTGAATGATCCCTTTTTTGCATGATGGTCAGTGAACGTAGTGCTGTTTTGTAATTTTTTTTTTACCCCACACCTCTGCGCAATATTGAAAGTATGGTGAAACTAGGGAACAGTAAAATCATTCAGTCAATCAAGATGAAGGGTTAATATTTAACATTTGTTACTGAGAGTGAAATCATCAGAATCCTGTTGAGTCTCCACTCTCTTTAACTACTTGGTCCAGACACATTTAATAGAAATATAAAATATCCAGAGACAGTTTATTTTTAACGACCGTTGGTCCCTACAGCATTGTGGCCAGATGATGGGGCTGTGTCTGCTGCCTTTCTGCTGAGCATGCACCGGGCGCCTGTGTCGGCCTCAGCTGCAGGATTTCCTGGTTCCTCTACACCAGGCTCGTAATCACGAGCTCCTCCTGTTGCTGTCATTTCCTGCCGACCGGCGCTGCAGCGTCACTTCGAAGGAACTTTGATTCCCCTGCTGCACCGACCAGCCTCGAACTGTTTGCTCCGCGGTTTCCCGGTATGAGCCTCAGCATGGAAGAAGTTCAGCAGAGGCTGGAACAGGCCGGCCAGCCTCACCTGCTGCGCTTCTGGCCGGAGTTCAGTGAGGAACGACAGCAGCGGTTCCTGCAGGAGTTGAGCCAGCTGGACCTGGGGGGTCTGAGGAGACACTGCGAGGAGGCGGTGAAGGCTGCGACGGCCCCTTCAGAGAGTCTACACCGCCTCATCGAGCCGGTGCCTTCGGAGTTCATCGGGAGCGTCCGGAGAAGCGACCAGAGGAGCCTCGAGGAGTGGGAGAGCCGTGGTAAGGAGATCGGGAGAGCTTTTACAGTTACGGCCGCTATGGAGTCACCACGTTTTTTTTTTTAGTGTCAATGTTATTTTATGACTAGGTGTGGTGACTGCGTTTGTAATATAGTTATAAAGTTCAGCCGGGGTGGATGAGAAATATATATATGGTGTTTTGTCAAACTCAGGCCCGGGGCCCAAATCTGGCCCCCAGTGTAATTATATTTGGCCCCTGAGATCATATCAAATGTATACTAAAGTTGGCCCACCAGTATATAGCCCCATATACTGGCAGGATTTGTAGTAGTAGCTGTGTATGCTATGTTATAGCACACACATTTGGGTTTTTTGTTGTTGTTGTTGTTGGCCTGTGAAAAATTAAAGAACTCCATAAGAAATATGAAACAAGAACCACTGATGTGTGTTTTATTAAGTTAAGTTATTTCTCATGTGTTTATAATATTAGCTTTGGTTGTTCCAGATTAAATATTTAGTTTGTTTCCACATGAATAAAATCTACATTACAGATCTGGAGAGAAGGGTAAACATGCGCCGTATATATTTTTCAATAAATATTAAGTTTGGCTTGCGACTTCGTCCCACTTTTTAATTTTGGCCCACTGTGAATTTGAGTTGGACACCCCTTTTATAGAATAACTCCATGTTTTTTAATCGTGGCTATTCCTTGCCTCCTTCCTCTTCTGACAAATTGTATGTTCCTCACAGGACTTCTCCAGATCTCACAGAACCGTGTTGGAGTCCTGCTCCTAGCCGGTGGTCAGGGGACTCGCCTCGGTGTGCCGTATCCTAAAGGGATGTACGACGTCGGGCTGCCGAGCTCTAAAACCTTGTATCAGATCCAGGCCGAGCGGATATGCAAGGTTCAAGAGCTGGCCAACTCTAAACATGGTTCTGACTGCATTGTTCCGTGGTATGATTTCTTGTCGCAGCACTCAAACTGGGGCCGATGAGTTGAACTTGAATCGTCTGAACACTTGAATCTGTGCTCACACCTTCGTAGGTACATCATGACCAGTGAGTTCACTCTGGCTCCCACTGAGAAGTTCTTCCAGGACAACAACTACTTTGGCCTCCGACCCTCCAACATCATCATGTTTGAGCAGAGGATGATCCCGGTCGTGACCTTTGATGGGAAGGTTATTCTGGAGAGTAAAGATAAGATCGCCATGGCTCCAGGTAAGCAAACATTTTGTTCTTTAAAAAAAAAAAAAACACTGGATGTAAAGTATCATCACATCACTCACGTTTTGTTGACCAACTATTGCCTTATCTGGTTATTTAATTTTATTTTAACATGGTATTTTGAATATTATTTTTCACTGACTGCTGGATTTCTCTATGGACTAACATATGAAACCACACTACAAATATGATATAATACCATTTTACTGATGAGGTTTCCCCTCTTGTCAGATGGTAATGGTGGTCTCTACAAGGCACTGTTGGACAACAAGGTGCTGGAGGACATGCAGAAGAGGGGTGTGGAGAATCTCCACGTCTACTGTGTGGACAACATCCTGGTCAAGATGGCTGACCCTGTGTTCATCGGCTTCTGTGTGAGCAAAGGAGCCGACTGTGGAGCCAAGGTAAACTGAGGGCGACTGGGTGACTTATGACACGTGAGTTAATACACAGTATTTGGTTTAAGGCATGTGATACAGTCACAAACAGGAACTCTGTCCTGAAAAAAAAGGACCCATTTTTGCTCGTGACATGAAGGGCTGAAATCATCACACATTATGGGATTGTTGACACTAACTCTCAGACCTGCTTCTCACCTCCGCCAGGTTGTGGAGAAGGCCTACCCTTCAGAGCCCGTGGGTGTGGTCTGCAGGGTGGGAGGTGTCGCCCAGGTGGTGGAGTACAGCGAGCTCCCACCAGAGACGGCTGAACTGCAAGGTCCTGGAGGAGAGCTGATCTACAACGCTGGAAACATCTGCAACCACTTTTTCACCAGAGCCTTTCTCCAGGATGTGGCAGAGTGAGAACATTTGTGGACATATTTAGTAACAAAAGTTAAAGGGACATGAAGTAATCCGGGTGTAGTTTGACTGTGAGGGACACACAAATATACAAATATGAAATGCAAGCCACATGAAAGAACATCAACATTTGAAAATGAAACATCAAAAATAGGGACGTCCGATAATATCGGCCGACCGATAATATCGACCGATATTACTATTTTTTTATTAGCATAATTATGTAATATCTGTAAAATAAATTTCCTCCCATATTAAAAACCTGATAATGCAATGCCTTGGTTTCGCGGAAATGTGTGCTCTAAAAAATAGTTTAATGCCCCGGAGACAGACCAATCAGATTCCTCAGTGCTCTCAGAAACACCGCTGCCCTGCTATATCGGCATCAGTTAATACTAAACATCCCTGATCAAGAATATAAACACAGGCTGTTTAGGAAGAGACAGAAAAGAAAACTTCATATCTGCCATGATATTTCACAGCAGAAAACCATAACTACAAACACTGGATATGTGAAGCCATAGAAACAAGAAGGCATGCAGAACAAACGATGAACTGAGGGGGTATTTACTGTGCCCTTCCCTTCAAGTGGAACTACAACAGGGACAGTTCAGGTCGTGTAGTAATGACAGGGTGTGCCTCCTTTTAGTTATTTGGTCAAAATTGCAAATATGAAATATGTACATTTAAATGTTGTGTTTATTCTTTCCAGTAAATTTGAAGGTCAGCTGACACAACATGTTGCCAAAAAGAAAGTTGCTTTTGTGGACACGGAAGGAAATCAAGTCATACCCACCAAGCCCAATGCCATTAAGATGGAGAAGTTTGTCTTTGACGTTTTTCCCTTCTCGAGGTAAGATGGATTTTTTTCTCAGCTCTTGATGGCCGCCATTAACATTCACATAACAGCGTAACTCCCTCTGTCTCTGTAAGGAACTTTGTTGCGTTTGAAGTTGTGAGAGAAGACGAGTTTTCACCTCTGAAAAACGCCGACAGCGCAGCCACAGACAACCCCACCACAGCCAGGAATGCTCTGCTGACTCAGCACTGCTGCTGGGCACAGGCTGCAGGAGCCACACTGCTGGACCATCATGGGAACCCACTTCCTCCTGTATCCAGGTCAGAGGACATGTCTTCATGTGATGGCACAGTTCAGCTAAGTCCAAGACTTAATGAGCACTGCAGGCTGTTGCTTTGAATAAAACATATGACAGCGCATGTGCTAATGTCAGACTTTATATCCGTTACACAAACTGACCATGTAGAGTGTCTTGAAGCAGATTTCTTACTTATGATCTATGTCTTTGTGTCTTTGTTGTAGTGGAACAGACATTAAATGTGCTGCAGCTCAGTTTGAGATTTCACCGCTGGTGTCTTACTTTGGAGAGGTGAGAAAAATGCATAATGTTTAATAGCAGCTGATAGACTTGTACTACCAAATAGTACTGAGGTTAAGATGTATTTACTAGCTGTTTGAACATAGTGTTTATTTTTCTCAGATTTTTCTCAATAATGCAACATCACTTCTTGTTTGAACCGATCTGATTTCTTCTCCTTCCATGTCCAGGGCCTGAAGCCACTGCTGGAGGGGAAGAAAGTGTCAACACCATTCATTCTGGATGAAAAACAGACCAAAAAACTGCCAAGTGACTGACGACAGACATTTCTGTGCAGCACAGACAAAAGGATCATTCTGTTTAAAAAAAGGATCATTCCGTGAGAAAAGGTTTCAGCACAGCCATGATTTTTACCTCTAATGTGAAAAAAAAAAGATTTCATGTATCTGAGAGAACTGTGGGTTTTTGTAACAGCTAGGAATGAGACCTTGTGATTTACATATATTTTTTATGTCGAATAAAAAAAATCATTAGTTTTTCTTGAACCACTGTCCATCATTTAAATCCAAAACAGCAGAGTCTCCTGACTCTAATAACCAGCTCTGGAGTCTCATCCTCAGTTAATGCATAGGTTTTGGCAAATGCACAACAACAACAAAAAATAATTCAAATTATCATATTTTTTAATTATTTAATTATATATTATGTTAATTGATTTGTAATATATATTTTTTGTGTTATCTTGATAATGTTTTTGCTTGTTAAAGGCTAGTACCTATGTGGTGGCTTAGTGGTCAAGGAAGTGGACTTGGGTCCTGAGTCCATCAGCTAGCTTGAGTTACCGCTGACTCATCCATACTTAATATAAACAGTATCCAAAATGTAGTGTGTATATATATATATTAAAAAAATATTTTTAATAATTAAAATTAATAATAATAATTTTTAAAAAAGTTAAAAAGTTATTTGTATTACATATTATATTATAATATATAAGTACATATATATATATATACACAGACAGTATATGTTATAAATTAGTTTTCTCTCCCGGCTTCCGTATCTTGGAGTGTCACATGACCGTCTCTGTCCAATCACAGATGAGCCTACAAAGACAACAAAAAGGAATTGGACGAGTTTATTTTACGTCTCGCGATAGGACCGCGGGTTCTCTCGCGTGCCGTTAGCTTTGGGGCTAATAGCTGAGGCTAACAACAGCGGAGAACGTTAAAGGGTTCAGTTTCTTTCGTTTGAAAATAACCGCTCTGGTTCAGCTCAGTCGGACGGTTCTATCATGTGAGGAACATGTTCAAAAATGTGTTCGCCTCCGGTTTTCTGGTCAGAACTGCTCATGTCATTTTGACATGGGTTGTTACGCTAATACTGTTCTTACACGACACGGGTAAGTAATGGTGCGTGTGTAGGAATGCGTATGTATGATGACGATGATGTATGATGTTTTATGTATACTTATTCATGTAAAACAAATGTGTAATAGGTATGCGTTTGTTTACATACGGCGAATTGACAGGGCCGAAACGAGAGTACTCAGAATAGGGGCAGGATGGAAGTTTGGGGTGGCCACCTATGTACGCATTAAATGATATTAATATGAATGATTACTTAACACTAAAATCGAGTGAAGATGATAAATAAATACACAGTTACCGTCTTACGAATTATACCTTAGTTTTCTGTTTGCCTGCCGTGGTTACAGGGGTTTGGTCAGAGGTTAGAAGTTCTCTACGGATTTCCAGAATTATTCGGTTTTATAATTTAATTTAAGACGTATTACCATTTAATTTAAGCTTGTTTAACTTAATTTTATATATTGCTATATTTTTTGGGGGACATATTGCCATGATGTGTACATATAATAAGTTTAATCTTGTCTTTTTAATGTTTTTATATGTTATATTTTGTACATATACTGATTAATCCTGTGCAGCAAACAACTGATTTATGCTGTAAATTCCCATGTTTTGTTGTGCTGTGTAATTACTTCTCCATTAGTGGTTTACACAATTTGATCTATAATGTTAGAATGCAGTTTAAAATACACAATATGCAGGTAGTGAAGTGATAATTTCTAATACTGCAGTATCTAAATATGTGTGTTTGTGTTGAAGAGCTGAGGAAGCAGGAGGAGAAGGGTCAGCTCTTCCAGCCCATCCTCTTCGTCCTTCTCGTCCTTGTGTCTGTGCTCCTCTACTTTGCTGTTTCTCTGATGGACCCAGGCTTCATTCTGTCTGATGACGGCCACTCGGAGGTAATGATCTACTGTAGAGAGTTTGACTTTCAGAAGTTTCTCATATTTATAACCCTGACAAAATCTAACAGTATTTTTAAGTACCTGTAGTCTGTATAGTCTTTTAACTCTCTCAGTAAACCGTTCATGCCTATTCTGTTGTTAGCAGTTCACACTGGGAGTTACTGAGGAGCAGCAGGACATGATCCCGCCCACAACCAAGTCTCTCCGACAGCGCCGCTGTGGCCACTGTCTGCTGCAGGTATGACACTAACTGTCTCTGTATTAACAGAGTATGTCTATTATTTTTATTGTCATTTGGAGTGATAGTGGCTGAATGGTTTTAGATACACGTCCAGACAAATCATGGGTCATTGGTAGGGTGGAATGTCAATCAGTACTAGCATGGAAGTAGTGTCATTATGTGCCTCAACCAATGAAAGTGTTTGGAGCGGTGCTAAATTGCTGCTGCTTTAACAGAAAAATTACCATATATATAAGTATTATATATATGTATTACCATATATATGTGTATATGTATACATATGTATATATATGGTTTTATAAGACAATGTTAATTATCAATCTTTTTTTTTTTTTTTTTCAAAATTGTTAAAGTAACAGGTTACTCGGTAGAGCTGTATTTTAATGCTGTCAGTAACAGCCGAGAAACAAATGAACATTTGAAGAAACAGGAGGATGTTGTGTGAGGTGGACACATGTCATCACATGTCTCACGGTGAAATGGGACACCGATTATCTCATGTACAGTAATATGAGAACAGTGACAGACTCCACTGACAGCCCACAGACATGTTCAGGAGGGTCACTGTTAGAGTTACACACCGGGGGGTTTTAAATATTTGTTAGAGCACAAACGTCTGTTAAGTCAGATGCTTCTGATTTGGGTCAGGGGTTCGTTTTTAGGTTGTTGTTAGGATTCTCACGCTGATGCACATACTCCAGCCCAGCAGGTGGCGATAACGTACCAAAAGTTAATTTAATTTAAAGTTAAATTTAAACTTAATCAGCTGTGAAATATATGAAAAAGATGCATTGAGTAATACATAGGACATGAAGGACAGTGATGGAGGATAAGGCCAGTGTTCGGCCTGTTGGGCAGAAAGTTTTATTCTTCCCTGATGTCAGCTAAGATAGGATCATGAAAATATTGCTCATCACTGCAGCTCTGTTGTGGCTAACATTAACTCATATGTGCTCACTAGACAGAGCTAACATTAGTCACCAAAGTTGTGGTACAGACACCACAGCTAAAGCTAGCTTCAACGGCCCTGGTACACCACAACTAATGTCAGCTGAAACAGTCCTCGTACAGACAAACAATGACAAACCAAAATACTCTTTAAATGTAAAATATAGAAGCTGTAATTGTACTGTGAGTTAGTACTAATCTTTAAAAGTAGTAGTAGGATGAAAGGTACACAGATAAGAGGAGATGAAAAATAAACTTTGGACATGAGTTCATTAATCCAGTCCCAGACAAAATGAATTTAAACTGAGAAAAGTGTTGATGTTGATTGTTTTGAATGTGGATAAATGATGAAAAAAAGTAAGTTTGGGGGGCAATCATAGAGTAGTGCTGATCAGAGCAGCCTGGTGGAACTCTTAGAACTTAAGAACCGTTGGTGAGAAGCTGAAGAAAAGACTGGTTTGACCTGCAGTCAGTGAGATATTGATGTTGTTTATCTGACTGTATTGGTCAACTTTAGCTGGACTTTAGTCAGAAAAACATCTTACTTGTAAACTTAATTGTAAACAAATTCTTTGAAGACCTGAACTGTTACTGCTACCAAAGAACGCTGTGGGTTTTCATTTTCTCATCACATTTTGTCCCCAAAACCCAACGGCTGTCAACCTGAGCAGCAGCCAATGAGATCGAAGCACTGCCAGACGTGCCGACATTGTGTGCGTCGTTACGACCATCACTGCCCGTGGATTGAGAACTGCGTGGGCGAGAGGAACCACCGCTGGTTTGTGCTGTATCTGGCCATGCAGCTGCTGGTGCTGCTGTGGGGGCTGCACATTTCCTGGTGAGTACGTGGCTCTAGTGGGCGGAGTCTTCTCCGAGAGGCCGTGACCTCACCCACGTGTCCACCCCCACCCCCGGCTTGTTTTTGCAGGACGGGTTTCGGCTACGCGCCCACCTGGCAGCTGTGGATGCGCGGCAATGGTGCCCTGCTGGCTGTGACGGCGCTGCTGGCACTACTGTCGCTCGTCGTGTTGCTGCTGCTGGGCTCTCACCTCTACCTGGTGTCTCTCAACACCACCACCTGGGAGTTCATGTCGCGCCACCGCATCTCCTACCTCAAACACTGCGGTGCAGACGAGAACCCGTTTGACCGTGGCACTTTTTACAACCTGTGGGGTTTCTTCTGCGTCTGGGGCACAGTGGTGTGGGAGCAGGTCTACTTCAGGGAGGGCAACGACCCGGTGTAGGAACAAACAGAGCAACTCCACCCCCTGCCTGGAGTGTTGAAGTCGTTCAATGATTTTCATACTTCGTCCTTGAACAGGAAACACCAGCTCTGGGTCTTTTATGGCAACATTCCTGGTCAGTATACAAACATCTTCAGCATCCAGCAAACCTGCAGCCACAACTGGATCACAGTGACATTTCACAGTTAGGTTTGGTCTAAAAATAGTTACCAGTATCAGGATATTTCAAGAACGTCTCCTGCATCTAGACCATATTCAGAAAAACATTGTGTGTGGACAAAGTTAGAGAAGCTCTGGAGATGGCAGTGAGAATCCCGTAACACCGGTTATTACAGAACTGTTAGCAGTCCAGCGAGTCTTTTGCCTTCGTCAGAACTGTCACCAGGTGTCAGGTGGTGACGTGCCTCATCAGTTGATGTATGCCTCCAGCTGTCAAGCCACTCCCCCGGCGTCAGCACTCCAAGTGTGGGACGCCGTGTACGCTCCCTCGTCCCCGTTCTTAATCCTGTGTGCAAATGTTCTTATTTCCACTGCCTCCAGGATCCATCGTTGGTATCAGATTTCTTCAGCGAGAATCTTGCAGGAAGTTCATGCCTCTTTAACATCAGCCGACAAGTCACCTCACCACCTGACATCTGGTAACAGTTCTGAGGAAGTAGGAAGACTTGTACCGAAACTGTTGACACAAATATTCATGGAAACATATTACCGACACACGCCCCAAGGCCTGGGAGCCATAACGGGAACCTGACTGCAGTCATTCATACAGGCCAGTAAAAATACTTCAAGGAGGCGAGGGATACTTTCTCTTGGTTATTTGGCTGTTTACAAGAAATTCAGAAATACTTGACAATCATTGACCAGTGGGGCTCCTCTGGATCACTCTAAGAACACGTAAAAGTAAAGTGAAGTGGAAATGAAGAAGGGACTGAAGAGCTAGGGACCACAAACAAACAAATGGAGGCGACAGGAGAAACACACCTTCAAAGATCAATTTGCTTTGGGTGTGAACGCTGAGAAGCACAAATCACAATTGCAAATAATTCTCTGGGAGTTCATGTCGCGCCACCGCATCTCCTACCTCAAACACTGCGGTGCAGACGAGAACCCGTTTGACCGTGGCACTTTTTACAACCTGTGGGGTTTCTTCTGCGTCTGGGGCACAGTGGTGTGGGAGCAGGTCTACTTCAGGGAGGGCAACGACCCGGTGTAGGAACAAACAGAGCAACTCCACCCCCTGCCTGGAGTGTTGAAGTCGTTCAATGATTTTCATACTTCGTCCTTGAACAGGAAACACCAGCTCTGGGTCTTTTATGGCAACATTCCTGGTCAGTATACAAACATCTTCAGCATCCAGCAAACCTGCAGCCACAACTGGATCACAGTGACATTTCACAGTTAGGTTTGGTCTAAAAATAGTTACCAGTATCAGGATATTTCAAGAACGTCTCCTGCATCTAGACCATATTCAGAAAAACATTGTGTGTGGACAAAGTTAGAGAAGCTCTGGAGATGGCAGTGAGAATCCCGTAACACCGGTTATTACAGAACTGTTAGCAGTCCAGCGAGTCTTTTGCCTTCGTCAGAACTGTCACCAGGTGTCAGGTGGTGACGTGCCTCATCAGTTGATGTATGCCTCCAGCTGTCAAGCCACTCCCCCGGCGTCAGCACTCCAAGTGTGGGACGCCGTGTACGCTCCCTCGTCCCCGTTCTTAATCCTGTGTGCAAATGTTCTTATTTCCACTGCCTCCAGGATCCATCGTTGGTATCAGATTTCTTCAGCGAGAATCTTGCAGGAAGTTCATGCCTCTTTAACATCAGCCGACAAGTCACCTCACCACCTGACATCTGGTAACAGTTCTGAGGAAGTAGGAAGACTTGTACCGAAACTGTTGACACAAATATTCATGGAAACATATTACCGACACACGCCCCAAGGCCTGGGAGCCATAACGGGAACCTGACTGCAGTCATTCATACAGGCCAGTAAAAATACTTCAAGGAGGCGAGGGATACTTTCTCTTGGTTATTTGGCTGTTTACAAGAAATTCAGAAATACTTGACAATCATTGACCAGTGGGGCTCCTCTGGATCACTCTAAGAACACGTAAAAGTAAAGTGAAGTGGAAATGAAGAAGGGACTGAAGAGCTAGGGACCACAAACAAACAAATGGAGGCGACAGGAGAAACACACCTTCAAAGATCAATTTGCTTTGGGTGTGAACGCTGAGAAGCACAAATCACAATTGCAAATAATTCTACAGCAGCTGGACGTCTCCGTAGTGAACTCGTTAGTGTTCCCAGATTTCTACAGCAGCTGGACGTCTCCGTAGTGAAGTGCAACCAACCAGCTTTTTTCAGGAGACTCGTTAGTGTTCCCAGATTTTCCCGCTCCTTTTATTCCCTTTCTCCTTCTACGTCTTTACTCTTAGCAGGAGTTCTCTTAGATAAACCATTGAGCTCAACAGCTGGAGTCACACTGTACCTTTCCTCTACTACGTCCATGGCCTTTTTTTCTAAGACAACAACTGAACAGGAAGTTAGGGCAGTTAGTCAGTGTACATCAGATATATTTTTTTGAGGTACTGTAGACTGATTAATAAGTTGAAGACTAGGACGTTACTGAAGTTCTCAATGAAACTCTTGACAATGATGAAGTTATAATTGTATCTATTTTTCTTGACATTTCTCCATATTAATAATTCCATCATTTGGATTGGTCACAAATGATAATAAAATAACTAACTATAAATTAAATGAAATCAATTATGCACTAAATATCCAAAATTGAAACAGTTCCATTGCCTAATTTTGCACCAACATTACCAGGCAATCAAAGCCGATAACTGCGTTGCGTGAACTTGACTGTTACATAACCCCTGATGTTTACCGTTTTTCATAGGTAATTCACGACTTTTCTCTAACTGGAACAATTTGTAGAATTTAAAGAGTTTGTGGTTGGTTGAGTTTTTGACGTTTACAGATCGGGGTCCAAAGTTTAGTCCGTGGAGTGTGAGAGTTTTTATTTAACTTAACTGTGATGTTGAACTTTTGATAGGAATTATTCCCAGTATTTCATCTAAATGTGAAGCTCAATCTTTCCAGCGACAGCATTTGAAGCTATTTTCTACTGTAAATACATTTTTAAATTATTATGAATTTCAAGTCGATGTGTCTGGATTTTTAATGTTTTAATGATAAACAAAAAGGCTGGGGACGATGAGAGCAATATACTGTTAGTGCTGTAACTTTGGAGTTTCCCTGTGTGCAATAGAAATCCCTGTCACAGCAATAATAATAAAAAAAATGTGGTTTTGATTTCCTCCACTTTATATTATTGAATTTACCTTTGGGTTATATGCAATAATGTGGTTCTTTTTTTTTTATGTCGGTGATGAATAAATTAATGTTTAACCACGATCGTCCAGCAGGGGTCATTTTTATTCAGTAGTGTTTCTTCACGTTGTACACGCTGTTTCCAAACAAGGGCAGTAAAAATAAGTAGAAGTTTTTGTCCCAAGTTCATTAACATGATGCAGATATAAAATATATATATAATATAATATTATAAAGTAACAAAAAGGTCTGTTTAGGGATAGTTCAGGTTTTCATAAAGCAGTTTCAGGCTAAAATCACCTTGTTTAAACCCACTGTACGGAAGTGCAGTAGAGTTACACCATGTGCCTACAACCGGATTTGTTAGTAGTACAATCTACTTCAAAACATTTTTTGAATGTTCATGTTTAGGCCAAAGTCCTGTGTGTGGTTTTCCCACTTCATCAGCCTGTTGTTCTTTCTCCTCCTCACCTCCATCAGTGTCCGGTGCAGTAGTGTGAACAGCCACAGTAAGTCTGTCCATATATAGAAAGATTCATATTTGGGAATAATTCATACTACACAGTGCTACAGCGCCACCTCATGGCTCAGTGAAGAATGTTTTGAATCATGAGTCATCAGTATATTTCTAATCTTTCTGTTGTTTGTTGCCTTTTTCCAGCAGGACACCAATGTTTTTAACTACACTCTCCCACACAGGAAGTACTCTGTAATATGTACAATGGTACTTCAAAACCTGCACTAGTTGTTGAACAAGTTGCCTGAGGTACAGTACGTAAACATTTCCTTCATTTTTCCAGGTAATTTACAGTAGGACTGTTGGACTGAGATCATCACCATGCCACAATGTCAGACAGTGGTCCAGTGGAAGCCCACAGAGAGGTCATGAACCACGGTGTCATGTCCAGTCTGGGGTGGAGAGTCTCCAGAGTTGACGTCCTTGATAGACGTGACGGTGATGTACTAGAACAGTTTCTGCCAAAGAAACAGCAGGAGGTCGGTCAGTGATGCGTCTGCACCACCACTCATCAGATGAAGGAGAAGTCAAAGTCAGAGAAGATCTCCTGCTGCTCGGCCGTGAGGACGCACGGTGTCCGTGGCAATGTCAGAACCGGTTTGAGGCGGGTGAACTCCTCGTCGAAGTTGCTGACGTCCCGCGCTGCCTTGATGACGGGCAGGAACGGCGGCTTAATTTTCTTGGCCAGGAGAGCGTTCCAGTCCATTCCCTGTGAACCAGAATGAACAAATAATTATTTTAAATAATTATTTTTATATATTTGATGTTTGCTTTAAAAAAAGGTTTGTGTTCATCACCTGGAAGAACTTGTGTCTTTTGATTTCAGCAGCATCATCGACTCCAGATCCAAGCCTTTTCCCTGGATCTTTCTGCAGCAGCTACGGAACAAATAAAACCATGAAATCACGTGACTGCAACACAACACACTGCTCACCTGACGGGAACCTGAGGACCATTATCAGGAGACGGACCTTCTGAAGGAGCGACACGGACTGAGGAGACAGGAAGCGAGGGTAGCGTGCTTCGTCGTTGACGATGCTGTCGAACACCTCTTCTTCATCGTCACCCGGGAACGGAGACTGAAAGAAAACACAAAACCAACAAAGAGCACAGTGGATGAGAAATTAGTGTTGAGATGGTGGTGAAATATTCAGGTTACTATACTTCTATGTTCAGAGCACTACAAATTCACAGCAATTATATTTAACATTTGAAGACTTTTCATCGACTTAGGGAATGATGATCCTACTGACCTCCCCCACCAGCATCTCATAGATGAGGACTCCCAGACCCCACCAGTCCACACTACGGGTGTAGTTGTTGTCCGTCAGCACCTCCGGAGCCAAGAACTCAGGTGTGCCACAGAATGTTGAGGTGCGATCTCCGTGGCCCATACCTGCAGCCCAGAGAAACAATGGTGACGCAGTCCAGAATATCGATCGATTCAGCAATGCATTACATCCAACCCCAGCTCCCATTCAATATCGATTCAGCCATCTTCAGACTCAACTCAAGCCCCTTGTGTTGTAGTTAAGTGTAGGAAGTTAAATGGAGAACAGTGTCCTGCTGTCGGAGATGGGCACCTACAGAGTCACTCAGTGACTGCACTGGGGAGGATCTTGCTGCTATAGTGTCAGTTGGCAGTGAGAGGTGTGTCAGTAGTTAACATCAGTGAGTTTATTTAAGTGTTGCTGTGTCTATTTTTATTGATTTATTATTAGTGTGAGAGTGTGTCTTTATAAACCAGTGAGATGTTTATGGTTATGTATTGTTCCGTGTCTGGTGGTTATGTTTAAGCGTGCTAATGCTAATGTTAGGCCAGAGTATTCACTGTCTTTTTTAGCTTTTGCATTTACAGTTTTTTTAATGTTAATTGACTGAGGTGTGTTTGGTTGTTTGATATGTGGATTATTATTATTATACACTATTCTGATTCTGACCGACGCCTCCCAGTGGCCACAAGCTATAAATACCAGTATTTTCCACCACAAGACACCTGGCCAGTGGGGGCGCTGTCATCAGTTTATTTATTTTTTTACTTTTGTACACCATATTCAGTACTAGTACTAGGGGGCACTCACACTAGGGCCAGTTACTCCATGCCACCCTGAAGTGCCAATTGTCCCCCTCCCATGCCCCCGTTTGGTCCACACTCATATTACCCTAAAGCAGCATGATCGAGAGCGAATCTGACAACAATGGCCACTTTGTGAACGATCTTCAAAATAGTCAGCCCTCTGATCAACAAGATGTAATCATTACTGTGAGCTGCTGTCGCTCAGAAACATGATGCGGATGAATATGCTCTATGCTCATATATCAGATAGATATCATCAATAGCTATCGCTCAAATCGAATCAATATTAAATTGTGACCTAACACATCGAAAGATATATAAAATGACAACTTTACCTTCTTTACACAAACCAAAGTCTGCGATCCTGACAAAACCGTCCGCATCCATCAGCAGATTGTCTAACTTCAGGTCTCTAAAGGACACAAAAACAACAGATGACATCACATGGTAATGATGTCACAGACTCTGAAGCTGATGTGGATGCAGCAGGTGGAGGAGAAACCTGTAGACGATGTGGTTCTGGTGCAGAAACTCCAGGCCCAGCAGCACGCAGGAAGAATAAAACCTGACGTCAGGATGACACGGACAAACTGAAGGTGGTTGTTCACGTGTGATGTGTGTTCATATGTGTGTGTCTGTGCACAAACTTACACAGTCTGCTTCTCGTTGAAGATGCTGGTGTGGATGTGGGTCATGAGGTCGCCCCCGGGGGAGTACGCCATCACAAAACACACATGGTCCGGAGTCTGGAAACATCCGTGAAGGTTCACCAGGAAAGGATGACGTGTCGCATTGATGACTTCAAAAATTCGCTTTTCACACAGGAGGCTGAGGCAGAAAGACGCATGTCGACGAAACAAGTAAGTACATCATTTAAAACGGTGGTTCTCAAACTGTGGTACGCATACCACTGGTAGTGCTTGGGCTCCCTCTGGTGGTAGTTGGGAGTACTTGAATCTTCTTAGGATTGGTTGGGTCACGTGGTTGGTAAATATCACTGTTCGCAGTGTGTGTGTGTGATTTAGACGTAAAGTAACAGTTGTAGTACTACTTCATTGTACTCTGTCTTTTGGAAATAAAACATCTATTTTATGCTGTGTTCAGCTGAACGGTAGGTATGTAGGTATGTGCTGCTGTTAAAAATGTTGGTCGTACTGGTGGTATTTGGAGAAACAAATACTTTTGAAGGTGGTACCCTGGTGTAAAAAAAAAAACATTTTGAAGTATTTGTGATGTTTATTTTTACCTGTCAACTTCATCACGCGTTACAATGTCTCCTTTCTTCAGAGCTTTGATGGCAAACAGTTTTCCAGACTTCTTATACTCTGCCAACAGCACCTGCAAACACATACAGATAATTGACAGAAATTCAATAATACGTATGAGAGAATTCAGAGGATCAATAGTCCATAGAGGAAATCATCAGTTTCACACCACAGCAAAGAGCTCTACTGCAGGGGTCACCAGCCTTTCTCAAACTGAGAGCTACTTCAAGGGTACTCAGTAATACGAAGAGCTACATCTTTGATACACACTTCCTGAACAATGTAATAATAATTAGTTCTGGGACAAACATATGTCCCACATACAGCAGCATACTACATAGTAGTACTACAGAGTAGTAGTAGACACTCTTCCTACAATCGTCACTGCGCCCATTTGAATATCATTGCGTAACCAAGTGCGCAAGTGACTTAGATGTCAGCTGAGTCATCGGTTTTTCCTCTACCTTTCCAAAGTGACCTCTGCCCAAGACTGACAGACAGTTGAAGTCTTCTATCCTCAGACCTTCATCTCTGCAGTGAGCACAATAACAGATATTTCTATAGATTATTAAACATATCCAGAGAAGCTTTTCACTTAAAATGTTTTTATGAAGTCTCCAAACGTTGGGTTTCATATCAGAGAAGAACTCACTGTGAAAGTGGACGCAGGGAAGGCTGTCGTTTGGTCTTTGGGCTTTTGTTCTCACCCGGAGACTGAGGGTAGACACGCAGATTAAAAAAACTACGATCACGATTGATTATTCGATTATTAGTGATTTGTTTGACTCAGTCGGAGTGCCGTACCATCACAGAGTCTCTGAGGGGTTTTCTGCTGCGCTGAGGAGATTCAGGAAAGTTCAGGTTCATCACAGCAGCTTCTCTGAGACAAAGGAACACATACAAAGACATTTGAGAGTCTGGGGGTCATTATACTGTCCCACACACAGTAGGACAGGGGACAGACAGGAGGACTTGGAGACATCGTGGTTGTGGTCTTACTGTGACTGAGGTCCAGTGGACGACGTGGTTCCTGAATTTTGACCTGTTAACGGTGGACTCATTGGCTCCAGGTTGCTGCAGGGAGGAAGGATGCTCATCATCAAACGCCCCCAGGTGGCAAAGTTCATGTTCATCTGGGCAGCACGTAGGAAGTTCTTCCCTGTCACACAACAATCAAAGTTCAAAACATTATCAAGTCGCTACAGAAATGGAGTATATTAATAAAAATGGGTGTTTCCAGTTCTAAAATTAAAGTCAGAATACTGACGTTAAAGGCTGACTTTTAAAATACACTTTCTCAATTTGAAATCTATCATATTACATGTTTTATCACAATAACAAAAAAAAAGAGCAAACCCGTTAAAATAGTATTTTGTTGATTATTTTTACCTTTCTCCTTTGGAAAAATTCTCCTCTGCCGCTGTAAATTGGAGCCACGCTCAATCACAGGTTTGATAAACGTCACCTGGAAAAGGTCACAGCAGGTGTGTCAGCTGAGTCTCGCCTTCATTTACTAATTTATCGTTTCATTTTTCCACCACTATCCCTTTGAGCCATAGCAGTAAGAATCTGCGGTGAGGACCTCGATGAAGAGGATGCCCTGAGGCTCCAGCTGCAGACACATGCCGTGGCGCTGGTTGTCCAGGAAGTCCTCCAGCCGCAGGAACTTCACACCACTCAGCGCTCGCCAATCTTTCCAATAGACGGCAATCTCCAGCTCCCTGGACTTTAGCAAGACAAGAATTTGAACACGGTAAAGACAGGGTGAAGAGGAAATGGATTTTTCTGACAAGATCTTTTGATGACATTCTTCTTCTGGGAATTCTTCAACCCGTTTCCACTTTCTTAGACTAACTTTATTTTTGGGTCGTGCCTCAGTCTTTATTTTTTGCTAACTTTTGGCTATTTTAACTATTTTTTTTAATATATCTCCTTTTGACAAACATATTTTACATTTTTTGCCTACATTTTGCACTTGCAGAAAATTCATCTTTTTTAATTAAAAATCATCTATTTTGCTTAATTATTTCTATCATCTTTGGTATATTTGATACTATTTAGTTTTTATTTAGGGATGTTTTTATCGTATCTCTTTTTGGCAAAATACCATAGAATTTTTGGGGGAAAACTCTTTGGCAATTTTCAACTAAATAAGATTTAAGATAATATGGGTATAGAGTAGAGAGTACCTTCTGCAACGTGAACTATCCCTTTACGGTAAGGTAACACCTGTACTGCTGTGCCTCTGTGTTTTAGCAGTGAATGACCCAGTTTTTGAAACAGACGCTGTGTGTTACTGTGTGTGTCGTATCAGTGACTTTAGCAGTGAGACGTACAGTCTACTGTTGATAATGCTGCTGCAGAGTGTGCATCTTAATCCGGATTACAGCCCATGGATGGATTACTGATGAGATTACATGAGCTAAATGGAAAGTTGAGACCATCAGAGATAAAGAAGTCACAGATGTTTCTCTGGTTAACCATTGAAATATATATATATATATATACACACATTTTGACTGGTATGATTTGTGTCACTCACTCTGTCCAGCTCCATGCTGAAGCTTTGACCCCAGGCCTCTTTGCCCTGCTGTTTCCACTGGGTGTGTCCCACGATCCTGTGGTCCACCTTCAGCACAGCACTGACCTCGGCTGATACGCACAGACACGAGACAACACAACATGAGCCAGAGACGAGGGTCAGGGCATTCTTTTGTTCCTCTAACTCAGCTCAGAATTCTATTACAAGTGCAATGAAACGTCATTACTCAAAGCTAATGTACGATCACTCACAGGACAGTTCGTCAGCCTTGCTCGTCTTGCCGTTGGTGCTGCGTACTGACAGGCCGGCCCTCACCTTCAGAGACTTTCCATCTGAGAAGCCTGAGGTGCCGGTCACACGGCCGCGGCCCGGAATGGACTCCATCAGGTCCTGACAGCCCATCAGACATACCTCCAACCGACCTGAGACACAAAGCAACAATTTCTCAGGGACCAGGTCGGGGACAAGATCACATTTGTCCGAGGGAGGAAATGTCACCGCAACCTGTCAGACTGGCGGGTTTGAAGAAGGAGGACATGTAGGACAACGATGGAGAGTCAGAAGACTTTTTCGGTGTTCCGCTGGGAGGGTGGGCTCCTGACTCAAGTTCCTCTTTAATGGATGTACGTCTGGGGTGGTCCTGAGGGAGTTCATTCAAGCGTCTCTCCAGAGACAGACGCAGCAGCTCCACCTTCTGACACGACTCTTGCATCCGCCCATGAGCCTGTGAAACGAAGACAAACTTTGAAGTCACCACCCAAGCTTTTTTTTTGTTGTCTCCCACATCTCAATATCTATGTTACACCCGAATTACCATCAACAGAATAGAGCAGCATCCGAGATGTATTTACGTGAACCATTCGCCCATGTAAAGCTTTAACAAAAGATCTGCTCACCTCCGCCAGTATACGACGGTCCTGGATCTTCTGCGCACTCAGCTGCTTCACCACGTTTTTGGCGCCCTCTGCGACAGCTGCCTCGATCTTCACATGGTGCATGAGCTCAGCCAGTCGTAGCTCCAGCGGAACGATCAGGTCCAGGGCAGGACCTAATGGTCAGTGTCAGACAGTCAAGCTGCGTCCCTGTTTCACTCTTTTTTTTTTTTTTTGTTAAATGAGATCATCGTACGAGACCCACCACTTTTTTTTTTTTTTTTTGGTTAAACGAGATCATCGTACGAGACCCACCGTGACCTCCATCTCTGGCCTGACTGACTTTGATGATCTGCATCCGCAGCAGCTCGATCTTAGTGCGACTGTCCTGCAACATCTGCTGTGCTGTGGACAACATCTTCCTGTCCTGTTACACAACAGACAACTGAGGGTCACGGCTGAAGTCACTGCAGCCTTCTGTGAGTACCTGTGAGTACTAGTACTTCTACCTTCACTGAGCCTGTGGTGTACGTCTGGATCATGTTCTCTGCCCCCTGTTTGACCTTAGTTTCCATCGTGAGTTGTTTCTTCAGAGTTCTGACACGGCCCGCCAATGGTGATGTCACTTCCTCCCACTGGCAGGACTCTGCTGAGCCATCAACATCATCCTGAGAGTCTGGGCACAAACGTGCAATGAGAGTTTTTTAAAAAAAAATTAGGTTTTTCTCTCAACTCTAAACAAACTGAATGATTGGAATCATGTTCTCAGTCTCGGTCACCTGAAGTGCTTTTCTTTCTCTCTGTGGTCATAGATCTGGCATTGAGCTCCTGCAGCTCCCAGTGCAACTGGTCCAACTTGCGGCTGGAGGCCCTCAGTTGCCCCTCTACGTCCGCAGCGCTCTTACGGTTGGTGACGGCCCTCCGCAGTCTCTCGGCCGCTTCCTTGATCTTCAGCTCACGCTGGATCTCCTGTCTGAGCAGCGTGCGAGCATCTTCCAAGCGCTGCTGAAACTCTGGATCAAGAATATCAGCCTCATCCAGGCCCTGTAGGTTACCGCTCTGAAACGCACAATAGACTGCATTACATCATGCCTACATCCCAACAACTTTTTTTTTACTAAATTCCAGGGTTGTCCTGTTACTATTTTTTACAAACCCATACAAGTATGAGTATTTTCATTTGTATATTTACCGACTCTGTGTACTATACCGGTAACTGGGCGCCCGGCTGTTTGTAGGTAAACCGCAGTAAGGACTTCAAGAAGGAAAATACTTACAGTTTTATTATTAATAGAAGACTATTTCAACTCAAAGACAAAAAAGTCTTCAAACGAAACTCTCATCACATCAGACAGTATAATAAAACTATGGATAGTGACTGAAAAAAACAACATCGAAGAATGAAAATAAAATAAAAAAATGTAACGTTCTGCATAGTCAACACAGTCTGCTGAACAGAAAGTGAGCAGAGCTTTTACAGCAATAGAACGTTTTCCCCTGGTTGTCAAATAAGTCCCAACAAAAAAAATGACTTGGTGAGTTTCAAACTGAGAAGAGACATTAGTGAATTCAGAGCTGTGGCTCATCATCAGGTGTTTTGGTACATTTCTTTTATCTCAACACAACAAATCTTGCGGTGAGTCTTTCTTTGTTGACAGACTTTGTTGACCTGTTAGCAGCTGGTTGTGGTGAGAACCTCTTACAGGACATTAGTTCACCGAGTTCAGATTTTTTTTCTCCACAAACCGCGGTGAACACGGTGTGATGCCACCATGACATTTGAGAGGGGACGACAGCATCCATATGCAAACTAGGAGAAAGCACAGGAGGAGCTGTGTAATCAAATCAAAGAGGTGTAGTTTCAGTCCTGTACTAAAAACCGAAACAGAACGCACTTGCTGTGAAAAAAAAGTTTTACTCTTTAGAAAGTGAAGCGCTCCTGTAGATGTAACTCTGTCACTAGTCTGGTCCTCGTCTCAGTTTTCCCTTTTTGTCAATAGACACAGGGCGTCACAATGAGCAGTAGCATCTATTCAGAGCTTTCAGTATTACCCTTAGAATTGTGTCAAAGACACACCTCCTGTCAATCACTCCTGTCGCTAATCCCAGGCCTGCCTTAACATCACAGTGCGTAATGGCCAACACCCGGGATTAAACGCACATTTTTATTTTTAATGTTGGACGTCATGTTAGTCATGTGATCCCAGTTCCTCCAGTCGTGTGCTCCTCCCAGATACTCTTCCCAGCCTTCAGGTTATATGGGTTATCATTGGAGACTTTGAACCATCAAAGGGCAGTTAAGCAGAGAGCATTTGAGGGCGCCCCTTACTGGCTGTTCCATTGAACAACGGCTCGTACATTATATCTTTGGTCGAATTATTGCTGGTTTTGCATGAATAATAACAGTGTTGTGGAGAAACCCACAACCAGGACTAGACTAAATGTTTGTTAGCTCATGACAGCTTTGCTCTATATGCAGTAAAATGAACGATATTGTTATTATGACCAACCCTGTGATTGATAGGGGGCTCGGCAGTGATGTACATCTCACATATTGTTATTATGACCAACCCTGTGATTGCTCGGCAGTGATGTACACCTCACACCCAGTAGCCAATCACAATTCCCTAAAGTTAAATGTAATCTGTCTTTCTGTGATGATTTCAGTCAAACTGATTATAATTATATAGAACAATGTTCTATGTACAAATGCCCTCAATCCATAGTCAAGTGCTTTACAGTTGCATTCATAGCACCCCCTGTAGGTAAGAAAGAGGGCTTGTGTTTGTAAACAGCGAGAGACTTCTGGCATACTCCTCCTTTAAACAAAACCCCCCAAAAGCTGGAGAGGGACATATTTTCAAGGTTAAACTAAGATATTTTTATTCAAAAACAATGCGGATAAAATATTTAGAGACGTAATTGTACGCACAAATTAAGTGTTAAGTTTGTTCCAACATAGGAGTGAAAACTGATTTGTTTATAAAAAGAAAATCTCGAGCTTACACAAAATAATAAAAAAAAGTGAATCAATAACAAGCCCTGGTCTGAACTTTAATGGCAGAATTTTACAGATGTTTTGTTTCTTTTTCTGCTCTAAGCCACAGAAACTCGTAAACTATGACAAGCAAACGAGATAAACAGGAAAATCCTGCGTCGTTACATCACGGAGCTGCAGGAACGGCAGGTGAGTCTGACTTAAACGGTTCGAGTGAACATTTCAGGTGATTCTTTTTTTCTTCTGAGTATTCAAATATACCTGTAGAGTTGGACCTGACATGGCGGACAGCCACAGGACATCCACGGTCCACACAGACGGCAGCCAGCAGAGGTTCTGTCCGGTCGGGTCGGAGAGCAGGTGACGCGGCTCTGGAACGGAGCTCCCGCTGATTCTGGTCTGTTTAAGCCCTTTGTTAGTTTAACTCCAGTCTAAGTAACGTGTGGAATTCATTGGCAGACTCTTCTTCTGCTACGCGGCCTCAGCTACTCGCCATAACAGCGCCCAGGAAAAGTTTGAATTGAGTTAAACTCGACATAGGCGCAGCAGCGACGTCAGCGCACCCCAGCGGGATTGGGCCGCTATGCATGATGACGAAGAGGCCGCTATAGCCAATCAGCGTCGAGGATTTAATGCACCTGCCGAGCTGCGCAGGTACATCAATTAAACAAAGAAATCATTCAAAGTCAACAAAGTTTAGTATGTAGTACTTAATGAAACTAAACTCAACTTAGGAAACTAAGGAAAACAAACAAAGTATATTTATCTTAAACAAATTTGTCACAAAACAAATAATCATAGTTGTAAATAATTGTAAATAAATCTGAGCCTCACTAATTTAAAGTTAATTTTTAAACTGAGCTTACCTTTGAAAAGTATGAGCTAAACAAATTAGCTATATTCATTAAGCTGAGCTCAGTTTAACAAATTATAAACACACAATACAAGTAACATCTAATTTCAAATAATATAATCTTTAATCAACTAAACTTCATTAAAATAGTTCATCTTAGGTAAATCAAAAACTCAACAAAAACATAATTAAGCTGTAATTAACTAAATTGAACTAAAACATTATACACTATATATAATTAAAATACTAATACTATTATACTGTGTATAATAAAAAGATAATAATAATAATAATATAAACTCTGAACTCTTAAAGTCATTAATAACTGTCGAATTATCTAAACTCACATTTAAAAACCTAATATGCATTTAAACTCAACATAGCTTAAAATAAATAATAAAATGAGGCTCATGTAAAATTGAAAAAAACTGTAAGTAATATATCTGTTAAAAAAAACAAATCCTTCACTTGTCTTTAATTTAATCATTCTATTATCTAATGGTTGGTTTGTTTTACGGTAGAAATATCAGCCTGCAGTATCGCCCTCCATTTGCCTGAGGGCAGCAGAGCAGCGTAGATGTGTTGCCCGACCCAGACTTAGACTTGTAGAGAAAGAAGGCGGCGTGCGGAGCTGCGCTCAGTCCTCCCACTGTGAGCTCAGAGAACACGGAGATCACGCACTGTGCAAAGGTGGAAGTAACTTTTATCCAGAAGAGAAGAGTTCAAACCCAACCGGGACGCACCTCTGGTCAGAACAGGCGCGATATCAGCGGTCAACCATGTCGGCCTCATCGGCGAAAGTAAGCAGGAAGGAGAACTCGAACCACGACGGAGCGGACGAGACCTCTGGTAACGTAAAGGAATGGCGCTTATCCTCCACAACGCCATTTTCATTTGTTTTTGTCCTTTTCTTGTCTCCAACGCGCTTCTGTCGCGTCGGTACCAAATTGAAGGACGCATATTCACGCACGGCTTATATCTGTCCCCACACACAGTCTGCACACACTCAAACAGTCGCTGAGGTTTACCGCTGCACCGCAGGACTCTTCGGTAAATGGAGCACGTTAGCCCAGGCTAACACTTTAGCAGCGTGTGAACGGGCTTTAGCTCGTTAGCCCTTGTTAGCTACACCGTAGTGCTTCACATGAAATAGACAAATTTATGCGTTGCAGTCGCGGCGTGGTTTTTCTTGTGACATTTGTCGTTTCTTACATGAGACATAAGCGCCGCGGTTTCTACCCCGTGTTCCACTGTGCAAGCGGGGTTTTGCATCCGCTCATGTCCCGCCTCCCTCAGCCTGAGGAAAGGCCGAGCCGTCCTGGGTAACAGGCACCACGCGTGCTTTAGCCCCGGACAAAAACGTAAACAAGACCGTAGTGTTGTGAAATTTAACTCTTAACTGGGTCAGTGGAATGAGTGTAAACGGGTTAAGCACGGGTACAGACGTGGAAGTGAGGTCAGTGGTTTATTATAATTGATGAGAGACACAAAGCTTTGTGCAGCAGAGACCCTCATTCAAACCAGGCCGCCTTCAGCAGCAACAGGAAGCTGCAGCAGCTGCGGAGAGGGTCTCTTTCTCTCTCACAGACACACACACACAGTGAGACACACAGGCTCCCGCGTTATTCACCCACAGCCATTCATTTGAAACAAACTGAAAATAAGTTTGAGAAATTAGTTTGTACATTTTAATAATAATAATATTATTATTATTATTAGGGCATTTATATTCTAAGCAAATTAACAAGTCTAACAAACTCTACATCAATCATCATCTAAATTACTTTAAAAATAAAATTAAAAAAATAAATGATAGTGTATACAATTGTATTTTTGTGAAAGTAAAAAAGTTAAGTAATTATTCTATTTTTGTTTGTTTTGAATCACGCCTTTAAACATGTATTTCCTCATATCTATGCTATCACAACTCACACTTTCCATTTCTTGAGGGGTTTTTCTTAATATATTACCTGCAGACCCAAACCCTGCAGCCCCTCAGCTCATTGAACACTGATTATTAATTGTTACTTTTTTGTACTGCAGTAAGTCTCTGTAAGATCATCACAGTCTTACACAGAAGCCCTATATTGTTTAATTGTTTTTATCGTCATCATTCACAATAGGCATGAGTGTTGTGAGCGTGTGCAGTGTCCTTTGACAATAGCCTCCGTCTCTTTAGTACTTTGTGACAAGGATGAGCACTGTGAGGATAGTGTGACAAAGCAGTTAGGAAAATCCATGTTTGTGTACAGTTTTATAAATGACTGTGTTGTTGTTGTTTTTTTTTTTTGTCTTCTTATAGAAAAAGAACAACAGGAAGCGATTGAACACATCGACGAAGTCCAGAATGAAATCGACAGGTGAGGTTGATATTAATGAGTCAGCGTTAACTCCCTGCATGTGTTTTTTTTCTAATCGCTGTCTTATCTTTTCTCTCCTGCGACAGACTGAACGAACAGGCAAGCGAAGAAATTCTAAAAGTAGAGCAGCAGTTCAACAAATTACGTCAGCCATACTTTCAGAAGCGGTCAGAACTCATCGCCAAAATCCCCAACTTCTGGGTCACAACATTTGTCAACCATCCACAAGGTGAAATAGTTTGATACTTTCAATTTGTGTTTATTGTAACACATGTAAGAGAAGTTGTTCACCGTGTTTGTCTGCGCTGTGTCTATAGTTTCAGCCCTGCTTGGTGAGGAGGATGAAGAAGCGCTTCATTACCTGTCAAGGGTGGAGGTTACTGAGTTTGAGGACATCAAGTCGGGATACAGAATAGATTTTGTGAGTTGGTCAGATTTATTTTTAAATTAAAAGAATATCTTCCAGCTCTTGGTATAACCATCATATGTATTTGTTTTACAGTATTTCGATGAGAATCCATATTTTGAAAACAAAGCTCTCTCTAAAGAGTTTAATGTGAATGAGACCGGAGACCCAGTTTCCAAATCCAGTGAAATCAAATGGAAAGCTGGAAAGGTGGGTTAACGTTCTTCCCTGATCTCTGTGTATTTATTTTGAGTTTTGTTTTTCTAGACATACACTATGACTAAATACCTTCCTAACCCAAATATCTTTTTTTTTTTTTTCCCTGACTATTTTTCTATTTTTGACTAGGACCTGACAAAGCGTACAAGCCAGACGCCAAACAAAGCTGGCAAGAAGCGACAGCACGAGGAGCCAGAGAGCTTCTTTACCTGGTTCACCGACCACTCAGATGCAGGCGCTGATGAGCTGGGAGAAGTGATCAAGGATGACATCTGGCCCAATCCTCTTCAGTACTACCTGGTAAGTTGATATACAAACACATTTAACACACACACGCAGACATTGCATTATTCCATATCCGCAATTAACAGACCTGCGATTTCTTACCATTTAATTAGTTTATCAAATAATAAAGAAGAAATGCACGAGGAGGATAACAGGTATAGATCATGTTTGATATGGAGTAAAAAAAAATCATCTGATTACACTGTTACTGCAATATTTATATTTATGTATTTTATGATAAAAATTACAATAATTATGCGGTTTTAAAGCAAAGGTCAGAGTTTGATCAACAGTACCTTTTGTGGGAAGATCAAACCCCTTGATCTAAAATAAATGATTGTCTCCAGCAGACACTTTAATGATTTAGTTTTGTGACAGTACAAAGTTTTTGTTTGAACGTCATAAACATTTGCTACCAATAAATAAATAAATAAAAACTTGAACTCTTTTCCCTTAGGTCCCAGACATGGAAGACGAGGAAGGTGATGGTGATGATGACGAAGAAGAAGAGGAGGGTCTGGAGGATATTGATGAAGGGGAGGAAGAGGAGGGAGACGAAGAGGACGAAGATGGTGATGGAGATGATGGAGAGGTGAGCTGTGGCCTGATACCAAATGTTAATAAATTCATACAGGTCCTCTGGTAAGTTGTTTGCTGTTTACAAGCAAATCAATCACTTCCCCGGAGTGGACCCATACAGCACTGCTGTGTCATGAGTTTTGGATTAAAAAGCATACAGCGCCACTGTATGGTGGACCTCATTTTTACATTTACAAGGCTGCTGTTTTGTTGCCATGTTGAGGCACTGACAATAAACTGCCTGTTCAGAAGAGATTATCCTAAATTGTATTGTTGAATCATGTATAAAATCTCTGAGTAAAAAAAAAAAAAACATACAAAGCCACAGTACCACCGCAACCAATTTGGGGACTGCTTAATAGCACCTGTAGGGGGTGCTATTAAGCAGTCCCCAAGTTGAAGAGGAAGATTTACACATGCAGTGTAAAAAATGTTTTTAAAAACTGTACTAATGGTCTGCATTACATTAACCACAGAGGTGAATCATTAGTTGTGACGCTGTTTTTCTTCTGTTTTTTCATCATAGGATGACGGTGAAGATGACTAAACCTTTTCCTCTGACTCTGTCCACCTCCTCCAGTGATCATCCCACAACCCATCAGATCAGGACTTTGTTTTTAGGGAGGGAAGGGGCATTTGTAAAAAAAGAAAACACAAAAACGGGATTTTCTTTTGTTTGTTTATTTGTTTTTGTTTTTTTTGTTGTTGTTGTTTTTTCTTTGCCGTGCGTCGTCAGACTGTCCGTCCTCTTCCTCTGCGGCCAGTGTTTGGAGACCGGCTCTATCTGCTGTTGATCTAACCCAATCTGCAGCGAATCTCTGACTCCTCACATGTCATTGTTCCTCTTCATTTCCCAAAGACATGCAAAAAATAAAAATAAAAAAAAAATTTGTAGCATTCTGCACGTCATCCTACGTAGATTTAAAATACGTACAATAGCAATTTTTATGTAAGATAGAAAATGATTGTTTCTGTTGAAGTCGTGAAAATAAAAATAAGCCATGGTGCAGTGATAACTCAATCATAGCATCCTTAGCCACTTTTATATATAAATGTATATTATAATATATCCAGTGGTGGGGTAACTAAGGCTTATTAGAGGTTTAATTTTTTTTTTTTTTTTTTTGTGACTTGTTTCTAATGGAACTGATCAAAATAAGCACCAGCTCGTTCCTTCCTTTCAACTGTTGTAAATGTTTTTGGGATAAACCTGTATCATGGATAAGACGGCTAACTACGCAACAGTTTTACAGTTTCTGTTAAACTTTCAGTATCATTTATTTTTCAGGCAGCCACAGCAGAGTTTGAAATGTACATTTTTCTTTTTTATTAAAACTACAGAAAAGCTGAAAGTCTAATTTTGGGCTTCGCGTTTTGAGACAGGAGACAACGTGGTTTTCCTGCTCCACTGGAAACCTGTTCATGGTAAATTAAGTGTAACCAGTTGCTTTGTTACAATAAATAAATGTGTTCATGATGTTTGGACTGTCTAGGTTAAATTAAGACTCAATCCCTGACATATATAGATGGACTCGAAATTCACCTACCACGGGGCTGAAAAAGGCTGCGGTGTGATTAGTCTCCAGAAGATGCCTGTAATGTCGTTGTCCTGTCAGGAGGGGGCAGCTGCACAAAAACTAATGCTTAGCTTTTTAAGTTGAATCGTGGGCCTTTAACCAATCACTTTACAGTCTGTAGAATGTATATACAACTGACGTATAGTTCTTTAGAGAATTCTTGACCATATTCACAAGTATTTTACAAGAAAATGTTAAACCGTTTTTACGCATTTGCATGTTACGTCATATTTTGGCGCATGAAATGATTAACGGGTGAAGTTTGAGCTTACAGTGAGACACAAGTCGTTTTTTCTGTAAAAGGAGTTAATTTTTATTTTCCGTCCATCTGTTATCGCCACCCACCACAAACTAAAAAAACATTAAATTTGGGCAGGCGTTTAAAATATTTATGTCGCCACGATATATGTGTGCATATATCTATATGTGTGTCATGATATAGCCTATGTATATATCAGTTTCCACCATACTTCCCATTTACTGCGAAGTAATTTAACTGCACTATCAACTGCATTTGCTAATTTAGGGAACGTTAATGTTAATGTAGCAACTTCGTACTTTTTAACGCACATTTGTGGCGAAAATTAAGAACGAGAATTGAATATCAGGATTGGATTGATAGACATACACTTTCACAAAACATGGCCTGAACCTTGACACAGAGGGCGCTGTGGTTTCAACCAGAAAAACAGCGTCGCGACACAGTTTTACTGCGCATGCGCA